AGCACTGGCGGCTGCGAAAGGTAATTAGCTGCGGGCGGTCGAATTGGTGACTTGGGATCATGGTAATTGCGGCGCTTTTACGAAGACCGTTTGAGCGGTAGGACCGGTTTGTGTAACCCGACTGCATTCGCTTCTGCCGCAGCTGTCCAAGGAATTTCACAAACCGCTCGGACAGCCCCACTGACACCAACGCGATGATCTGAATTTACCAGGCGTGGTAGACTGGAAATGTTGAGGTTCTTTGTGTAACTTTTTTCTAGCCATGCTGGAAGATGCTTTCGTACTCTTTTGGGCAAACACCAGCTGGTGCAACCAATATATTCTGCCCCACGGGGGCAGGTAAATGAACACATGCATATAGATATAGTGCAGACTGCCAGTTTGTCCCTGCTCTCACGCTGAATAAGATGTGTACTAGTCGAGAGCAGTACATGGGCGTGGGCTGCTTGAAACGTGTTTGGTGCGCTTTGACTTAGGCGCATTATTAAAAGTTCGCTTGGTGCGTCCCCTTGAAATACGACGCCGAGGAAAAGTCGTTTCTAAGCGGGGGACTTTAGTGGTATTTCTGTCATGCTCTTAGCAATAAATCGATTTGGACACCATGTCGAAAAACGCATTCTACAATCTTAAGATCTTCTTTACTGCTATCGGTCGAGCAGATTCTATTCGCCCGTGGGGTGAAACAGCACACTAAGTAGCCACAGTCCTTGTCATTCCAAAACCAAATTTCGACTTATTTATGAGTATTAAGCCCACCAAAAGACCTAGTTAGCATCTAGAGTCCATAAGTGAATCGATGTAGCCCTGGCTGGCTATCTGACAAATCTCTTTCGGAAGGCGATTAAGTTGAAGATCACGAAACAGTTACAATATATAGGAGCATGTACGTTGTGTAATTGGGCTATGACCTGTATTGTGTATTATGCGTCCCACGAACGACCCTAACGTGTCAGTTACGCTGCACTAGCATAGATATCGAATTTTTCTAAACTAAGATTAGAATCATGTCTATTTATCCTCGAACCACTTTGTCATTCTTCTCATGACAAACAACCCAAACGACTAGGTGAGTAGCAATAGAACCAAGAATCCCGGTTTGGTTTCTTTTAAATTTCACTACAGAATAGATAGAATGTCATAACTATGTCATACTCGCTCCTTTCTATAATAACCTAAGTTCTCGCAAATACTTCCAACTATTATGGTGCAGAGATAGGTCAGGGGCTCACTAGTCATGCTCTAAAATAAACAGTGCAAAAGTGATTACCAATAATAACCTCGGTTGTAGCCCACAGAACGCGATCCGCCGCTGCCTACGAAGTACAACGCCCTATCTGGTGGAAAACGCTGGCATAAAATCCGAAAAAAGTATACTATTTCACATCACGTACTGTCATAGACAACATCATACATGGGGAACGAAAATGATGCACAGAAAAAGCCGGTTTATATCATCCGTGGCGTAGACCGGTGGCGAAAAGTCTAGTTTGGAATGCTTGCATCTAGTAAGTAGGATCATACAATCCTTGGCCCTGCGAACTGGACTCGAGTATGATATAGTTATGACATCCCATCCTGTTTATTCTGTAGCGAAATGTAAAACAAAAACTGCATTCTTGGTTCTATCGCTACTCAACTACATAGTTGCTTGAGCCGTTCGTCGTGAAAAGAATGAAAAAGTGGTTCGAGGATAAACAGATACTGCTACCGTTTGTACAGCTGGTTTCCAAACAACATTGACGGCCAGGTTAGCCACCTTAGAATCCTGCGTAGCATTCCTGGAGAATTACGATCGGGGCCTCCAACCAAGCTTCGTTAGGTCCACGTTACTGGCACACGTTATTCATGCACAATTTGGCATCGCAGGCGCCCATTTGATCATAAACGTTGAAATGAAGACATTCGCCAGAGGATCGCTCATTCCACCTGCAAAAACTATGCGCCCATACATATTCAAGTCAAAAAACACAAGCGGCGCGTTGTGTGTAGATGCTTGCAGAGGACATGTATTAAATGTAGGCTCCGCATCAGGTCAGCCTCCGCGTTCCATATTATTATTTTCGGTCAGGTTGACTTGAACTTGCTGCTAATGAAAGAGGCGAAAAGGAAAGGTGCACTGCGGAACAAGAGTGGCATGGAATGCCTCGAGGTAATATAGTCCTCCTCGGTAGTGGGCGTCAGTGACATCAGCTCCCTCGAAATTATGAAACCCTCCCCTACTGATAACAATATTGTGAGTAATAACAGATCAACGCGCGCGTGATGAAAATAGCTGTGGCTTCATACGTGCCCGCCTTCACGCACGAAATAGTCTGCAGCCTTCTAACAAAAAATATAAATAAAAACGAAGTTCCTTTGAAAACCTGAAGAGATATTCGTGGCACTTAGTGTTCACTAAGCTTCTCAAAAATACACCAAATAACGCGGCTGACAGCCAACTCCACACAAAAATGTATGTATTGAGTCATTTTCGTTGATAAAAATGACTTGGTAACTTTAGGCCCACCCTATTGGAGGGTAACCCTGTTTCAAAAGAGCACGAAATTAACTAAGGGGTTTCCGAAATCAAAAGTTTGGTGATTGAGAAATAGCGTCGAAATGCGCAATCATGTGTCCATTTAAATAAATACTTGCTACTTATAAATGAAAGTAGCGACATACTTTGAATGTAGACTGTTTATTACGGAAAATAGGCCACTTTATTAAACAAATTTTCGACGCTGATTCCCGAAGTCATCGTCAGATCTAAGTAACTGCGTAAAAAACAGATAACACTTCAAACGTCCTTAAACAACCGATACTCATTTAGGCTTTGTGGCAATAACCGGCCACCATGCACGTCAGTCTATATTGATTGGTTTTCACCTCTTCCATTTTTCCTCAATATTTTTTTTCACGACATGTAACCCAATGTACCGATTTATACATGATTTATCGGAGTGCATGACCTCAATAAACTTTCGGTATTTTTAGAGAGACAAACTCCGAAGAAGCAAGTTTTGCCCTGTGCAAATGTGTAACCTGTATCAAGGTTACGCATGGCTAACTGGAACAGATAGTCACGCCTCTTCACAACAAATTGACGTGCATGACTGGGTGTTGAGGAAGGCTTCGGAAATAGCCCACG